GTCTGCTGTAAATAAACATCTGTCACAGGAGGAAGGAGCTATTTACTTTGGCTCGTTAAGGTTTGCACTGAGGTGGAAGAAGTAATCCCTCAACAAATTATGCTGTTGTTAAGGCTCTCCTATTGCTTGTAGGGTTTTTTTTAGCATCAGACACCCAGCTCTACCTGCCCTTCCCAAGCCTGGCAGGAGTCAGTGGCTTGAGCCGAGAGCCTTTGGGGCTTAGGGGGACAAGTCAGGAATGGTGAGTCCTGCCTCGAAAGGTGGTTTACTTGGCTTGTGATGGCAATTAGAGGTAACGCCAGCTTTGTATTCACTGAATTGGAGGCATTCCTCGGTCTTGCTGCTTATTACCACCCAGGATAAGACCTTTCCTTAAGTGTATTCAGCTGTAGGGACTCTGGATGCAGTTTTGTAGGTGTTAGAAAGATGGTATAGAGCAGATCTCACTCCAGAGTTATTCTTTGGCCCCTGTTTCCATAGTGGGGTGCAGGGAGGCTTTCAGGCACCCTGTGGAATAAGGCTGATGCACAGCTGCTGCGGAGCACCTCCACTGTGTAAGTGACGGTCAGATCCATGTTGCTCTGTGGAGAGTTCACAAGCCTGTTTCTCCCAACAGGCAGATCATGTTAGCATTTCTGCCTTGCCTGTGTTACCCAAACCAGCCCTCCTCTTTATTGCACATGCAAGGAGAGTGATTGCCTAGACGGTTCCTCTCTGGGGGCTCTTAAGAGACATTTAGGTTCAGTTAAGACTCCTCATAAAACAAGTCAGCATTTGGGCAAGACAAGACAGTGCTTGGAAGCCCTCCAAGCCAAGGGAAGGAAACACGATGCTAACGCAGGGCTCGAACTGCTCATCCGAGGAGATGTGTTACAGGAGGAATGCTGAAAGGGAGAGCTGCACGGAGAGGAGCGAAAGGGGCTCTCAGGTGAAGCCAGGATGACTTAAGGAGTGCATTAGGGAACACAGCCAAGGGAATTAGGGAGCACAACCAAGGCTGTTACTTGGATCCTATTAGCAGCTATGGGTACCGCTCCCCTGGGCAAGATCTGGAGCCACTACAGACTTGTCCTAGCAGTCGCCTGTCTCATAATATTGCTTTGTCTTCCCATGAACCCATCAGCCTCTCTGCTAGAAAAAGACCTGACTGTAAATGCTCTCCATGGCTGTGGGCAGGTGGGAAAGCCAGCAACACCTCTGCCCTTGCTTTGGCATGCTCCAGCCTCCAGGCTTGTGCATTCCCTGGGCAGCGTTTGGCCTATTGAACCAGAGATTTAAGCCAGCTTAACCTTTTCCTCCACCTGCTGGCATAGGTAAGGGGATTAATAGCTCCCCACCACGAGATGTAAGCCCCTTCTCCTCCCTGCAAGCACCTGCCGGGCAGCGGGACTGCCGGGAGCTGCCAGGGGCGGCAGGACTGGGGTTTGTGCTCAGCCGCGGCCATCTCTTGCTGGAGGTGGTGGAGAGCATGCAGACAGCAGCTCCTTTTCTCTCTCATGTCATAGTGTGTATTGTATTTCTTGGCAACAGGCATCCATGACATCTTGATTTGCAGACAGTCGAATAAAATAGAAAAATAATGTCCCCTGTTAATAGGTTGACACACTGCTTCAGGGCCAAGTGCGAGTATTTCTGTAGCATTTGCTTTGCTGCCTTATGTCAGTAACTGTTGCTATTGAAAGTAAACACCCCAACTGGTTAAATCAACAGCGTTTTGTTTATTCAAAGCTCATAAACTCCAGTAGCTGTAGGTCACTTTATGAAGTGCCAACCCCTTGGGGAAGAGAAGGAATAGTGTGAAATTATTGCATGCAGTCCACCCATCATGAGCCTTAGAGGAAGGGGTTTTTTTGGCAATTAATATTTCTTGCAGAGGAAAATAAAGTAATCCTATTGAAGGCAGCGCCACACTGAACCTTGAGCCTCCTTACTAGTGGAAATAGGGAATGGGGTGAGACCTTCTTACAGACCTGGACAAAAAATATACCTTGGAAAATGAAAACCCTTTTTTTTGTTGCTGTTTTAGAAAAGGGTTTGCAAACCACCTAGTGGGAGCAGGAGTCTGTAGGCAAAACTGGTCAGCAGAAACCTAGTGCTCAGGAGGTAGCAGCATTCTCTGTCTATCCCTTTATTGTGATATCTACAGAGAAAGGAAACTGAAACACCTCCAAGTGGTATTTTTACTCTTCATATCTTACATTTTTATCTGTGTAGCTGTACGTGTAGTTCCAGCTACGCACCAGAGCTGGGTGCTGGGGGGCACCTGCCTGCTCCTATGGCCAACATGTCCAGTGAAGGGAGGCCCAAACCTCTAGGGCTTTGTGGGATCCAGCCTTTGCCGCGCAGTAACTGTGCATGGAAAGCGCACTGGATGGTTAAAAAGTGTCGCGTGCCAATCCTGCTGCACATTTAAAGCATACCTGGGTTTGGTGCCCCTACCAGCAGGACTAATTCTGGGTCAGGGTGAAAGCACCTGCAGAGGTGTCGGCTCTTCAGGCATAGCTGAGCCAGCTTTGCAGCGACTTGGAGCATGCGACGTGGCAGCACGGAGGGTAACCACGACCTACCTCTGCACATCGCAGGCTTCCAGGCAGCGCTGCCCAGAGCACCAACGCTAGCCTGGGAGTGTCTGTAGGATTTTTGGCATTTCCTAAGAGCTGGGTGCGTGGACGTTCCCAGTGAGCGTGCTGTCCTTTCCAGCTCCCTTGTAGGTCGCAATGTACACAAACAATGCGCTCTATGGAAGTTGGACAGAGACTTGGTCTTCAGCAGCGATTTCCAACTTGCCCAGATCCAAGTGTAATTAAGATGAGTCAGGCGGTTATTTCGAGGCTAAAATTTGGCCTTCTTCATCCTGAAAAAGCTTTGAGAACCACTGATCTGTAGGAGGTCAGGTATAAAGCTCTCTCTCAGCACGCTGAAGTCTGTGGGACATGAACGTTAATCTGGAAATTTGACAATTAGAGTCACTGTGGAAGTGAAATCTGTGAATTGAATAGGAATAAATACTGTCCAGGGCAAAGTTTAAATACGTTTTCTCTTGACTATTGCAGATATGTTTTTGATGATTGCTATTTATTCTTAAGCCTTTGAGGTTAGAAATCTGTCTTTGTGGGCAAATCCAATTATGAACTCATCAAAAATTTGAGTATTTAGGGAGAGAGATTAATCATACAGCCATATGAAACAAATTAGCAGCTTCTGTGACAATAATCTGAATATATATTCTTAATTGGCAGTATCTTAGCCCAGCTGCTTTAATATAGTTGATGGAAACAATGAGTCATAAGGTTGTTTTCAATAGTTTAAAAAAAATCCCTCTCAAATGGCTTAAGAGACTGATAAATGTTGAATTATTTATATTTTTAACACGAACAAAAGCTCTGTGTCATGACTGGCAGGAGGGGCTCAGCTGAGCTTGTTTTTGCTGGAAAGATTGTTCTCCTCTTCTACAGAGACCTGTCCGAAAGATCAGTACTTGTGTTTTTCCCACCAAATACTCTAGCCCTGGCATTTTTTCTTGCAAGTGATAGAATTTGTACAGCACTCACTGGGGCCAAGAGCCGTTGTATTTTAGGCTTCCTAAAGGGTGCACAGCAGTAAAAGGGTGCCTGGACAGACTTGTAGAAAGCACAGTTTTGCTTCTATGCGAGAGGAGGCCCAGTACCGAACATATAGGATAACATTTCCTTATTTTTGGCTCAGCAGTGAACGGTGTTCAGTGAAGGGAAGACACAAGTGCTTAGGGTCTCTTGGGAGCAAGCTCTTTGTCAGAGAAAGTTAAAATCCAGCCAAGACAGCTGTTAAATAGATGAACGGCATCCTCTGGAGGCCTTTGCAGTTGGGGTGGATGAATCTGGAGGAGTTTGAGTGCAGGTCATGAACTCACAGCTCACCAGACCCAAACTGCTGCCCACCTGATTTGGTTGCAGGGAACTCATGATGTTTTCCAGCTGTCTGTGTGCTAGGGAAGAGTTCTTGCATCTTCATGTTTTTTGGCTCCTGCTGCTTGTTAGCAAACTGTTGAAATAGGATTGTGGGGAGGGCGACCACGGCTGATCATGCAAATGGCCCTTTCAAAGGGATGAGAGGAAAGTAGGTGGAGAGATGGTGTTACCTTTTTTCATTCTGGCTGTGGAAACAAAGAATAACTTGCCAAAGTCACACTCCCAGTCTGTAGGCAAGAACAGTAGAGACCTTGGAAATCCTTGATCGCATACATGCCTATCTAGGGTCTACCCTACCCGGGCCGTAACCAGAAAAATATCTTCCTTCCAACCCTCTCTGCATTTTTCTTGGTCTTTTATAACCAAACACAGTCTGTAACGTAGGGCCCTGTTTCTTGGATATTCAAGCTGAGGCAAAAAACCCTGCAAAAGGCCCAGGCCACAGCAGAAACCTGGTGCGGCCCCCTCCTGCTCGCGTGGGGCTCTGGGTTGCAAACGCTGCTGTGTGATGGCCCTCCCTGCTGCGTGTGCCAGGCACTCCGCGCCCACATGGAGACCGTGTTGTTGTTGGCACGCGGACCCTTCCAAGCCCAACATGCTGCCTGTTCTGTAGGAAGGAGTGGGGTTTTGTAGAAGGGTTTTATTTTTATTTTTTTTTCTGAAGGAATTCAGCATTATTCAGTGGAATCCTCTCTGCAGGTGGAATTTTTGGGCTCCAGGACTGTAGTGTGCCTGCACTTGAAAAGTTGGCCATTTATTTGGAAACAGACATGGGCAAGTTCCAGCTCATTCATCTAAGCTGTCCTTTCTCAAGGACAAGGAGTAAGGCCAGCACAGCTGAAACGCTGCAGCCAGCTCCTGAATGTTTCCAAATAAAATGCCTTGAGTAAGTTTATTTTTCCCTCTCAAACCTAAATTTAGCACCCTGGAGAAGCTGCTTTGGCAGTCAGCAGATGGTAACGATGACAAGATCGATCTGTGGATAGTTCTGGGAAGATTTGGAAAGTCCCGGTAAAATAATTGATTTCATTCATGTCTGCATTTTGTCCACAGCCCAAAGGTCTGCTCATGAACTTCCAATGGTTGAAAGACAAGATATTGATAGCTGCCTTGTTTATGGAGGACAACAGATGATCCTGACTGGACAGAATTTCACAGCAGAGTCCAAGGTGGTGTTCACAGAGAAAACGTCAGGTAAGACAGTATTCTCCAACTTTCCCTAACGCGATAAGGCAAACGTGTAGTACTGTTTTGTCTCATGGTCTCATCCGAAGAATATTTGTGCTCACATGTAACTCTGCTCAAGTGAGTAGCCCCATTCAAGTTCATCTAAGCAAAACCAAATCTCTTGAGGTAACCGTGTAAGAAAAATCAGCCATGGGAGCAAACATCTGCATTATTGGCCTTTAATTTTTCAGGCAGTGTTGAATAGTAAATCAAAACCATGTCGTAGGGAAGGTTTGCAAGAATGCAGGCGTTGAGAACTGGCAGAAACAGGAAACATTGTCAAAGAAATGGGATGACTGCTACAAGTTCCCCTGTGCTAGTTTTAATCTGCTGGTTAGTGAACACTGCTGTAGAAATCATAATTGAAATGAACATTTTTCATTGCAAATGAACTACAAACAAAGGTTGGGATTTCCACCCTTAAAAGTCTATGGGGGAGAAAATGTGCGCAATGTATATTTTTATGTCAAAACAAGATTATTTTTATCTTCATGCTGAAATGGAAGAATACATCATTTCATCTTCCATATTTCTTCAGAGTTTTTTACATTGATAGTTTCTACATTGCTTCTTAGAAAGAATAGTCTTAAGCCTAAACAAGACCAAATATTTCCCTATAGTTTGAAGGGAAACAATGCCTCCATGGGCAAATGAAATTCAGGGATTTGAAACGTGCTGAGGTTAAATGGAAAATAATCCAAGATGTCACAGAAAATAAACAAAAATCTTATTTTACTGACTGGGACCCTGCTTCTGTAAGGCTTCTTTCTCTTCCATTTTGATTATCTCTTGGCAGCCGCTGAGCTCTTTGAAGGATTTGTCTCTAACTTCACCACATATCCCTGAATGATATCATCAAAATTTGCGTGTTGCATTTGTATTTGCAAGTCTCACCTTTGTGCTCACTGAATATTCATTGCTTTCGGGCATGCAGATTTGCATCTCCCCAGCATTACCATTACAAGGTGAAGCACTGGCTGTAATCACGCAGAGATCTAAGCCTGTGCATCCACGTGCATCTGTCCTGCTATTTGAGCGGGCAGCTCCCTCTTTCCTTGTATAATCATAATCCAGCAGGTCCCAAGGGAGTTCTCCAGTGAGAAATCCACAAAAGGAAAGATCAGACTGTAGGAGAAAATTCAAATTCAGTTTGATTCAGAGAGTCCCCTGTCACAGCACAGTATTATTTTTTTCCAGTAGAGCTGCTTGTTTTAAAAAATGTTTTGCCAGAGTTTTCAAATAACCTTACTAGCTCTTGAAGAACTGCAGAGGGGGAATGAGTGGCAGATTGTAGATTATCTATTTTCTCTTTACATCTTATCTACTTATTTGCTCAACTTGTACAGACCCAGCTCAAGATGGTCCCAAGCCCTGACTGGTGTTGCAGGAATATTAATAATAGAATAATGAATGGTCACTGGGCCTCATTTAGTTGCCTAGCATCACCTTTAATGCCTTTGTTGAGCTTGTTATTGTGTTTTCCTAATGGCGTGCCATAATAAACATCACCTGATTTCTAGCTCAAAGAATACCTGGCCCCAGAAGATATGCTTATCATGGTCTAATGGTTAAAGTGGGTAGCAGAAATCCAGGTTTTCTTGTTTACAGGAGAAAATGCAAACAAATGCACTCTGCTGTAATTAGTTACCTGTTTTCTCAGTGCTGATCCTCATTTCTTTTCTAATATCATATGCATGCAGGCAGTTCATCTCACCTCACTAAGCAGTGTGTGTATTTTATTGAATTTTCTAAGTCTTTTGCAAAGGGGTATTTGTTTCTTTATAAATGATCTGGACTTGTTTAACTTACCATTCCTTAGTCTTGATTTTTTATACTCTAAATAATGTGCTCTGGAAGGATGAGGATGATGTCCAGCGATCAAGTACTTTGCAAACACGAAAGGCCAGGCTCTGCCATCCTTCACTCCTGTTGATTTCAGCAAGGCAGAGGGCTGTGCAGGACAAAAGACTAGCAGCCTGTTTAATTGAAACTTCACAGTCCCCTTGTGCAGCTCAGAAAACATGTTGCTGTTAAGTTTTGGGTCAGTAAACTAAGATGGGGAAGCGTAAGTGATCTGTCCAGTGAGTTGCAAGAAGGGATTTGAGAAATTTCAACCCCTGAGTGAACAGCATGTGCGTGATTTATAGGATCATGGTGGAATGGGAAGACAGCATGCTCTGGGTCCCAGTTTCTCCACAGACCACCAGAAAATCATGCTTTTTTACAGCATGAATCGGAGCCTCGGGGCCTCTGAATGGTGAAGGTTGAGATGAGTGCTCAGTCTGAGCCCTTTTCTTGGCACCCTGCACTTCCTCGCAAGCCCATGTATTAATTCCTCCCCGCTGCCGCTGTTCCGCCGATGTCAGCGAGCCAGGAAGGTGCGTGGGAACACACTTGGCAGCCAGCGATGGTACCTGCCCCAGGAATGCTTTGCAGTAACTAGAGGAGAGGAGGTAGCTCCTAATACCGTTTTGAGGAAACATCTGAAATGCCCAGCCCTTATTTCCACGTGAGAGCAGAGAAGGCTCTGGCTGGGATAGATGTGAGAAAGTAAAAAGAACAACAACATTTTCCACACTAAATCTAAAGCTTTTGTTCACTGCTGCAGAAACTGTGTTTTTTTTCTTTTTTTTAACCTCATAATAGCCAAGAGGCATGACTTCTCCCAAAAGCGGTACCTGATCCGGAGCAGGGATTTCCGCACTGGTATTCCATATCCCGCACGAATGCTCCTGCCAGCCCTCGGCCTCTGCTGTCCATCTCTCAGTTGGCGGGATGCTAAATAAATGACTAGCAGAGGGAGAATTTAGAGGGTTGGAGGCCCACGTTCAACTGCTTGCTCTGAATCAGAAGCTTGTGTGGAGCTTTGTGGTTTGCAGTGTGTCATCTGTGGGACTGTCCTCCGTGCTGAAGGCTAGCAAGCTCTCTATATAGCCACGCTCTGTTTTATAATGCCGTTATCCCTCTTACAGAAATTGCACTGAAGTGCTTTTAAGTTGAAGATGGCTTTCTTTAATAGCACCCAGGAGTATCTTAAGGTGAGGGCAGTGAAGGAACTGGCCTGCGTATGCAAATCACGTAGGGTCTGACCTGACCCTGGCTGACTGCAGTGGATTGGGAATTCAGTCTTTGTGCTCGGGTCGTCAGAGGTTAATGAGTGTCCCAACCTGCCTGAAGATCTCCTGATTTTCTCTTACGCACCTGTGACCTTCAGCTTCCTTTTTTATAAATGGTAGAAAATTGAAATTATCTTTTCTGTGGCCATGCCTAGTCATTGTTGCGTTAGGCTGCATGAACACAGAACAAAAAGGGGCACGTTTTGTGGCCCGGATTATCAATTAGAAACATCACCGGGGGAAGGTGGAGGAGCATGCTGCATGTGCCTGCGAGAGAGCTCACTTGCTGCAGCTTGGGCCCGCATGGCGCCTTGCAGAAAGCACCGATAAGCTGCTCTGAAGCAACCGAAGCCACAATAAACAGCGAGGTGGGCGGATGGCGCTGTACTCGGGTGACCCTGTCATCGGTGCAGCTTCTTCCAGAGTCACAGACCTACTCCTTGGTGAAGGCAGGAAGATGCCCCTGCTCTCAGGGGACCCATGGTTTTCTTTGAGTTTCATTTTTTCAGCTCATGAGCCTTGTCTGTGCTAGCAAATGGTATTCACAGTTCCCGCTTTTGCCATCAGGTTTAGCTATAGTGGTAGTGACAACTGTGAGAAGAGTAGCGTAGACAAGCATCTAGTAGCCTTGGGCATGTTTTATCCTTTAAAACTCTTGGCTTGGCTCGTCTGTCCAGTTTTTATGATGAGGGCGATAAGACTTTTTTTTTTTCCGTCCAAAAAGCTTTGTGCAGGGATTTCTTCTGCAGGGAGAATTTCTCCTGTTATCTGTTTCATAAACACTCCAAAACTCAGGGTACTCAGGGTGTACCCTGAATCTGGGGTCAGGATCAGTGTCTGCAACGAACTGGCTGCTAAGGAGGTCCAGCTTTGTGTGTTACAAAGCAGAGGTAAAGGGCTCCTGAGGTTCACAGCTGTACATCAGGTTTCACCCTCAGACTGACACTCAAAACCTATTGCATTTTCCTCTGGATTTTGTAGGCGTTTCTTCACTCCCCGTTAGCAACACAGAGAAAAGTAGAACTGTTTCATATATGTGACCAAAATCCAACATACCTCTAAGAACAGTAATGAATAGTTTTTACATCTCTGCTACGCAGCAATACAGATAGCCTGTCTTTCCCTGGAAAGATCTGGAAAATGAAATATCTGGAATATCTGGAATATTCCCCAAATGAGGCTCTGATGGCAGTATGAAAATAACTGGCTTGCTGTAATATGCTGTCTGCAAATTCCTCCAATTAACTTGCCACCCAAAGCTCTGTAGAAGACTGTCATTTTAAGCTCATGACAGGAAACGGTAGCAGGAAGCGAGCTGAAGGGGCTGGAGCGAAGTGCTTTGGGCGAGAGTGGTGGGAGAAAGTGCTTGGGTCTGAGATGCTGATGCGTAAGTGTCAGTCGCTTTCTTAATGATAAGGTTTACCAATGTGCAAGCATTATAGTTTTAGGTTCTTTTTAACGTTATCTCTTCCTAATGAAAGATTGTAATCTTCAGCGGCTGTGAGCTGGGGGAACTCACGAATTTAGTAGAGTCAGCCCAGCATACAGAAGCAGAGTTTGGCTCAAAGAGTTTTAAGATCCAAATTTTGCTTTAACTCAAAGAGACATAGCTGAGCTCATCTGAATAAAAATAGCTAAGGGGAAGCGACTAGATCTGATTACACACATAGAAATTTTTGAAGTGTGCGTATTCTTTAAATATTGATCTGGAAGAGAGGGCTTGAAAAAGAGATCTTATGGCTAAAAAGGATTTTGAATGTCCTGAAGATCAAGGGTGTTAGTGTTTGGTTGGGGCCCAGATGTTACAATGCAGTTAAAAAAAGAAAAGGTTTGGAATTCCCCTTTTTATTT